CGTGTGCCACCAACACCCGGCTGTTGTATGTGTATTTTAAAAAACATTTTTGGGTTGAGGGGTGCTCTATGCACTACTGCACATGTGTTGAATTCAAAGGACAACTTGCGGAAGTCAGTTCTTTCCTTCTATCATGTGAGTCCTGGGATTAAAGTGGGTTATTAGACTAAGGTAGTAGGCACCTTTGCTCATTGTGCCATCTTGCCACCCCAGCAAGTACATTTTTTTAGTTCTTTTACTTGGGGGCAGGGAGTGTTATTTTTGAGACAGGTTTTCACTATGTATCAAGGGTGACCCAGAACCAAGTGCTGGGATTAAATGCATGTGTCATCTTGTCCAGCACGTATTTTTGTTAAAAACCCTTTTTAAAATGATTTTCATCATGACCAATTCACTACCAGTAATGAAGGAGGACATAGTTTTTGTTTCCATCACCTCCATGCTTTGCCCATATTTCTTTTGAAGCAGAGTCATAGGCCTCTTACCAAAGGGAAGAGATTTGCCCCATCCCCAGTTGTACTGGTGGTGTAATCCAGGCCTTCATGTAGCCTAAATGAGTCCTGCCCATGTGCCTCAGCCCCTGCATGCTTTTTCAAATCTCCTTCATTCTGTATCAGAATTACAAATCAGAACTATTTTGTTTTGTTTTTTCTTTCTAGAAGATTGGAAAGAATGGTACCAGAAAAGTCAAGATGAAAATGTTCTGAGAAGCTATACTTGTAATGTGTTTGGAAAACTTTTTATGAACAGAACCCATGTTTCTCCAAGGCAGAGACCCCATAAGCATAACACACGTGGAACACACGTGGTACAAAACTTGAGTTCAAGCAGAATTTCTATAAGAAAGAATCCTGATCGATTTCATAGTTACAAGGAATCTTATTTTTTTAAACATCAAAGACATTGTAGCTTAGAAAAAAACTGTATGTGTAATGAATGTGGGAAAACTTTTCGTTGTAAATCACAGCTTGTTGTACATTTCAGAATTCATACAGGGGAGAGACCCTACAAATGCACAAAATGTGAACGAGCCTTCAGTGCCAAGTCAAACCTTAATGCTCATCAGAGAGTTCACACAGGAGAAAAGCCCTATTTATGTAGTGAATGTGGGAAAGTGTTTTCTTTTAGGTCACAGCTCATTGTCCACCAGGAAGTTCACACAGGAGAGAAGCCCTTTTGTTGCGGCGAATGTGGGAAAGCCTACAGTTGGAAATCTCAGCTTATTTTACACCAGAGAAGTCACACGGGAGTGAAACCTTTTGAATGCAATGAATGTGGGAAGGCATTTAGTTTGAGGTCCCCATTCATTGTACATCAGAGAAGTCACATGGGAGTGAAGCCACATGAATGCAATGAATGCGGGAAGGCGTTTAGGAGTAAGTTCTACCTCCTTGTTCACACCAGAATGCACACAGGGGAGAAACCTTACCAATGCAGTGACTGTGGGAAAACCTTCAACGTGAAAACACAATTCATTGTGCACCAGGGAGGCCACACTGGAAAAAATCCCTACGAGTGCAGTCAGTGTGGCAAAGCCTTTGGCCGAAAGGAGCAGCTCACTGCTCATTTGCGAGCTCATGCAGGGGAGAAGCCCTATGGTTGCAGTGAGTGTGGAAAGTCTTTCAGCAGCAAGTCATATCTTGTTATACACAGGAGAACACACACAGGAGAGAGACCTTATGAATGTAGCTTATGTGAGCGAGCCTTCTACGGAAAATCACAGTTGATTATCCACCAGAGAACTCATTCAACAGAGAAGCCGTATGAATGCCAGGAGTGTGGAAAAGCTTATTCCAGGAAGGCATCCCTTCAGATACACCAGAAAATTCATTCTGGAGAGAAACCTTTTAAGTGTAATGAATGTGGGAAAGCTTTCACTCAGAAGTCCTCTCTCAGCGAACATCAGAGAGTTCATACACGAGAGAAACCCTGGAAATGCTCTGAATGTGGGAAATCCTTTTGTTGGAATTCAGGGCTTCGTATACATCGGAAGACTCACAAGGCAGACATTCAAGTGATGAAGTGACTGTTAGACTCTATTCACAGGTGTACCAGAGACCTCAGATGATATTCCAGACATAATATATTGAAGAACAGTCAATTTTTTTTCTGTAATGAGGCTGCAAAAACTTTCACAAGTTGGTTACATAACTCTTATCTGAGAAGAGAAAAATTGAAAGAACGAGGAGTAATAAACATACCAAGTGTGCTTGGTCCTGTCATGGAGATTTATACTCCCTGTAAGTTTAATAAATCGAGGAAGGCCTGGTGTGGTGGCTCACCTTTAATTCCAGTCTCTGGAGGCAGAGGCAGAGGCAGATGGATCTTGAGTCTGAGGCTCACCTGGTCTATATAGTGAGGATAGCTAGGGCTACAATAGAGAGACCCTGCCTCAAAAAGCCAAAAATAAATAAAAAAATAAAGGTATCATTTTCCCAGAGAAAAGGCTCCATGTAAAATTACATTCCAGATTTGAAGCTTTTCTAATATATAAAATAAAGGCCTCCCCATAAATAATAAAATTATTCATAGTAGAGTACGAAGTTGTAGGATGTGTATGTGTGTGTGTGTGTATGTATGTTTGTATGTATGTATTTTGCTTGTGGGGAAGAGGCAGGGTCTCATGTAGCTTAGGTTGGCCTCAAAGTGAATATGTACTTGTAGCTGTCCTTGAATTCCCAATCTTCCTGCCTCTGCCTCCCAAGTGCTAGGATCACAGGTGTGTGCCACTGTGGCTGGTTTTTGTTTTGTTTTATGTAGGTAAATAATATAAGACCGTTTCAGAAACTTACCCTGACACTTCAGGAATATTTTTGTGTGGCTTTCCATAGTTACCACTGATTTGCATTTTCAAAGATATATATCCCAGAAGAGGGCATCAGATTCCATGGGACTGCAGTTATAGCTGGTTGTAAGCCGCTATGTGAGTGCTGGGAATTGAACTCGGCCTCTGTAAGAGCATCCAGTGCTCTTAACCTCTGAGCCATTTCTTCAGCCCTTTCTTGATTGTTTTTTGAAGAGAGTGCATGTGTGCGTGGGTGTGGTGTGTGTTCAGGTGCCTATGGAGGATGTTAGATCCCTTCAGCTGAAATTAGTGGAAGTTGTTACTTGTCTGATGTAGGTGCTAGGAACTGAACCTGGTCCTCTAAAAGAGGACTAAGAAGAGTTGCCACTTTTAACCTTGAGCTATCTCACTTCTTCAGCCCTAATGATTTTTTAGAGTTAGATTTTGTCTTAGTGTTTCTATGCCATGGCCATAACTACTCTTATAAAGGAAAACATTTAATTGAGGTGGGGGCTACAGTTTTCAAAGGTTTATTCAGTTATTGTGGCAGGGAGCATGGTGACATTCAGGTAGACAATGTGCCGGAGAAGTAGCTGAGAGTCCTTCTTGCAGGCAACAGGAAGTGGACTGAGTATCATACTGAGTGAAGCTTGAGCATATACAAGACATCAAAACTTGCCTCCACAGTGACATGCTTCCTCCAACAAGGCTATACCTGCTCCTGCAAAGCCACACTTCCCAATAGTGCCACTTTCTTTGGGAACCATTTTATTTCAAGCCACCACACATTTATTTATTTGTGAGTGTAGGTCAGGGAGCATCTTGCAAGGGTTGGCTTCTATTTCCAGCATATTAGTACTGATGAGTAACTAAACTGAAGGGGGCGGGGGACTAATACCATTCTGTTTTGAACCAGGTTCTTAGGTGCGTGTTTCATTGCTTTTTCAATAATAATGGGGATTTTCTTGCATAAGAGAAATGATTTTCAACCAGTATCTGATTTGACTTAAGGTTCACTCCATGAGATAGAACCCATACCTGGTGTAGCTTGGGTAACCAAGAACCTGAGACTAGATAGCCCATGGACCTTGGAGAAAACCAAATACCACTACTCTACAAAAGGAACGAACATAGTAATAAAATGTCTCCTCCTGACAGTCTGCTATACTCATAGACTTGTGTCTAGCTCAGCCATCATCAGAGAAGCTTCCTCCTGCAGCAGATTGGAACAGATACAGAGATCCACACACAGACAATGTGCAGACTGAGAGGCCTCAAAACATTCAGCCCTAAATGGGAGGAGAGGCAGCAGGATCACCCCATTCAGCCTGAGGTAGTGGTAAGAGCTAGTGGCCCACTACTTTGCTTTTCTGATATTCAGCTTGAAGAATGAACCCCAATATTTGCCTCTGGGTCTTTTATTTATTGTGTTACATTTGATGCCCAGTGTTAAAGTAAGAATTCACAAAAAAAAAAAGTTTCTTTGAGGCCAAGGGCCCAGTCCCAAGCTTGAGCTGCAGGTGGGACTCCTGGCTGAGTCCCTCCTCCCTGAGTCCCTGCTCAGCCAACTAGGTTTTCTTTTGTTTTCTCCTCAGATCTTTGAGCAAATGTGAGATTTTTTTTCAGTTGTAGCTTTTTTAAACAGTCTTCAGCTGCCACACAAACTCAGGAGGCTTTCAGGCTTTTCCTAGAGCTCCTTCTCTGGCTGACACCCTCAGTGAACAAGCTAGTTCTCTGATTCAGACATGCTACAACTTACAGTTCTCTGACACTGTCCGCAGTTTTGGCAAGTTAATTGGAAATTCTTGAAGGAATTAGTTAGAAAAGAGAGGATTTCCCCCACATTAAAAAATGGAAAACATTATTAAAATGGAGAAAAAACTGGAACACGAAGGGATAATCAACCTAACTGGGATTGATACACAGTTATCATTTTGATAATCTTTGTTGTCATTTGGGTAATTATTGGTTTACCTCTAAAAAACTTGGCTGATATGAGTACTAAGATGCAGGCCTTAGGAAAAACGTATTAAAGCAGATTATAGAGATATTCAAATCCAGACTGACAGCAATCACTCCACCCCGCATAGTGTAGTGGGCTGTACAAGCTAACTAATCAAACTGTGTCCAGGAGGAAGAATGGGAAGTGCCTATGGAGTGCAGGAAGCTAGCAGGGTCCGCTATTGGAGCCAGGGGCAAGTGATATTGAAATACATATCTCTGCTGATCTAGAAAAGGTCTTTGTCTGGGCGGCAGTCAGGGTCAGTGAGCATTGTGCTGTGTCTTTAAGTACGGTGTAACCCAAAGGGAGGTACTCTTGTCATTCAGGCCTCACTAGCCAATCAAGCCCTCCAGGCGATCTGCCAGTCAGAAGTGGTTGCCGGGCCCTTCCGGCCACCGGCTTCAGGCTTGGCTTTGAAGGGAAACTGATGCCAGTGGGTTTGTATGCTGTGCTGCGAGTGTTTCTGCTGGAGCAGAGCGAAGAGCATGGGCGAGCTGGGAAACCACGACATGGTGAGCGAGGGACTGCTGTCCCCAGGCTGGGAGGAGCTGCTAGTTGAGCCATGAGAGCCAGTGTGGTGGGAGCCAGATCCCAGAAGCAGAGTTCGGCATGTTCCTGCCTTGTCCTACATGGCCCAGCGTGGTCCTGCATGCTCTTTGCAGTTCCTGGGGCTGGCTGACAGCCTCTGAGTAACTTCACTCTGCCGGTTGCATCTGTGTACAGCATCAAGAGCAGGACTGTGCTTTGAAATATCCTTGTTGTTGACATTACTGTGAAATGCGAGCACCCTTAATGTTAGGATTCAGGCACTATGCTGGCCCGTCCCCACTTGTCAGCATTCAGGCGAATAGTTACTCAGCCCAGGATCCTACAGCCTACTTCAGTAAGTCATGTGCTGCGTGGCTACGTATGGCTCTGTACGCAGGTGCAAAAGGCCCCTTTAAGCTCCAGCCATTCTGTCTTTCTTTCCTGCCTGCGGACCGCTCCCTCGTCTCTGTGCCTCTTCTCCCCCCTGGCCTTCCTCCTCCCCTCCCCACCTTTCCATTCCCTTTCTGTCAATCAAACCCTCCACATGAGCGCTGTGTGTATGGCGTGTCTGGCTCTCGCCTGCCACGGTGTCTCAACCGCGGTGGGACTCCTTGGGCCTGCTAAGCCCCTTTCATGCCATATCATAACAGTGCTTATGCTGTCTCTGTGCAACACAGATTTGCCAAGCTCAGAGAGCCCTGTGGTATGTTCTAGAAGTTCTGCACTTTGAACTTTTAACATTTAGGTTTAGGATCCATCTGGAGTTAATTCTGTGGAGCTTGTAAGCAGTATTTCCTGTGTAGAGTAGCATTCCGTTGCTAAACTGTTGATAACAGAATAGATAGTATAAGGATTTACCAGATCTTAGGAGATGTAAAGTCACAAAGCAGAATTTAGATAAGGGAGGACTGCATCCCCAATACCCCAAAGAAAAGTAGTATGCTAACCCTGCCTGTTAGAGGTTAGTATGATAAGATGTAAATATTCAGGGTATTAACCAGCTACATTTCCATAACAAAGGAGACAATCTTGATTTACATCCAGCAGAAAGGCCCATTCCTCCATGAAAAAATCTGCTTCTAAATGCTGCTCAAGAGACCATTTGTGCCATAAAGGTATATTAATTCTAGAACAGCTGTATCTCCAGTCTTTTTGAAAAGCAGTTTTGAGTCAAGGTTTCCTATGCTGATGGAGGTGGACTTGAACACTACTGTAGCCCCACAGGGCATTGCCCTTGCTGTCCTCCTGACTAACCACGTCTCCAGCACTGCAGAGGTCTACAATGGCCACTTTGAGTCACGTAGTGACTGTCCACTTCAGAGCAGGGGAAGGGCTTGTGTGTGGAGCATGACTTCCCCCTTCAGACCAGGAGAGGAGGAACAGCGTACTGTTCACACTGCAGGGGGAAGCAGACTAGACAATGCCTAGGTCACAGACCGGAGTGGAAGTCGGTGAGCCTCAAGAGGGCTGTCAGTCGTAAAGAAGGACCTGCTGGGGCCGGGTGAGTGACTTTCTGTGTTAATTCCTTCCGCGTGAAGGAAGACAGACAGGACTGGCGGGTGTACAGTTTAGGGAGGGTAGCTTGAACTAAGAGACATTCGGTGGTTGCAGTGGATGAGCCGCTGTCTCCACTGGCCTTGATGTTAGAGCGGTTCTCTAGTTTAGCTGCTATGCAGTCTTCATTCTGACTCTCCTTCCTCAAGGCCGAGGATTCCTAGGTAGTCTAAAACAACGTCTGGACGGGCATTTCCATGGAGGGGGAAGTGTCTGTGATCATGTTGTGTGGTGTGTCTGTGAGGGACTTGCCTGGGGTGCATCTGGAGACTGCTGCGCTTGTGAGCAGAGGATTGGTGCAGTTTCTCCAGAATTTGCCTCAGGGAGAGGGTGTGCTTGGTAGGAGTTTGAGAGGCTTGGCTCAGGGAGGCAGGCGGGTGGGGCTGCACAAGCTCACAGGCCCTGCACACCAACTCAGCTCTTGTCTTGCCTATCTCAATTATCTGTGGAGCTGATGGAGGTGTTCATGGAGTGTCGCCTCACCCGGTCACTTGCAGCCCTGGAATTAGTCCCTGGAGATCCCCAGCACCTGTGTTGACCTTGTCAAGGAGTCAACCAGGGCTGATGATGAAACCCAGAGAGGCGGAGGTCATAGTGCTGCTGTCACAGCTGTCAGTGGTGGCAGGATGCTAAGAACGGCCCTGGAACAGCTATTCATATAGATGAGAACTCGATGCAGGGAAAGCGAGGCAGGGGTCCACCTACGTTAAGGACCTTTCTGGCATCAGGTTGCCTTCTGAGTTTTCAGTCTCCAAGCCACTCTCCAGACCCTTCTTTGAGCCCAGATGCCTTCCAAATACCTGGTGCTCAGCTGCTTTACAGGGATTTCCATGGAGTCTTGGAATGTTCCTGGGACAGCATGGGTGACCCTCATAGGTGAGTTCCTTGGTAAAATTGGAAATGTTATAAGGCAAACAAGCTCATAACTGATGTTTTGAGGCATTTGCTATTTTGTATTTTAAAAAAAGACTAGTTATATTGGCTCTTTGTAATGTGCATTCTTCCCGCCAGCCGCCTGGGTCCTGCCACTGTCTCAGCCCCCAAATAATACATGAGACACTAGTATTAATTATGAAGCTGTTGGCTGTTTTCTATGGTTTCTCATTGGAGAGCTCTGACTTAATTATTAACCCATAATAACTAATCTATATATTTTTACAAGGACTTATCTTACCGAGGATGCAGCCTCACGCGTCCTCTCTTCCTGAGATCACATGGTGACTCCTCTCTCGACTACATTTCTCAGAATCCTCCTTGACTCCTCGTCTCACCTATCTTGCTTCCCTAATGGCTAACAGTGCTTTATTCATCAACCAATAAGAGTGACATATTTACAGAATGACATCTCCCATCATCTCCTCTTTTCTGTCTAGATAAAAAGGTTTTATAGTCAAATTATATATAAGTGAACAGTTATCAAGTAAGAACCATAGTTACAATATTTAGTCCATTAACATTTAGTAAGACTTTTTTTTGGTTTTTCGAGACAGGGTTTCTCTGTATTGTTTTCGAGGCTGTTGGTCCAGCCTGGCCTCGAACTCACAGAGATCCACCTGCCTCTGCCTCCTGAGTGCTGGGATTAAAGGCGTGCGCCACCACCGCCTGGCACATTTAGTAAGACTTAAAGAAAGTATTTTATCATCTATACTATCTGTGTGAGTCTAAAGTCTTATATGTAGCTTATCTTTTATCATAACTAAGGAAAACTGACAATAAATTCTGGACAGGAGGTGGGGGAAAGAGTAATGTCATGAGCAAAAGGTAGATATGTATAGTTAGTGTAACAAAAGTTATATTTTATTATGTTGATGGTTATCACACAAGGTTCACACTTAGTTCCCAACTAAGGTCCTAAGTCTCTCTCCCCAAGGCTGCTCACCTGTGCTAAGTCTGTTAGCCGAAGGTCAGGTCCAGTCTGTAGCAGGCATCTGTTTTGAGGGTCAGGATCCTTGGGGAGACTTTCTAGATGCAGAGTAAGTCAAGGTGGTGTCTCTCCAGATCTACAGAGCAGAGCATTGCTCTTGGTCTCTGCTTATAGACTGTCTGGTGACTGTCATGTGGTTCTAGCACTGTGTCTGCTTGTCTTGAGTGAGTGGTGTCACTGGGTTCTGCTTATCAGGTACAGCCTTGGGTGTAGTGGTGTTGCTGACTAAGCTATTTTTACATGTCTAAAAGACATTTTTTAACTCTGCTCAGTACAATTAGACTTCTGATTCATGTATATGCTTGACCATGAGTAACAAGTAATACACCAGAATGCCTTGGAATTACTAATGTTAAAGATTTTCATAACAATGGAAAAAATGGGAAAAATAAATGTTTAACCTGTATCAGTTATTGGAAGCAAAGTGATTAAAACAGGCATCTCAAAAAACATAACTGGTATTAAAGAAGTGCCTCACTTGTCTCTCTTTCCAATTCAAGGACAAGGAGCAACCTTGTTATTATTCCCACATTGGGTTAAATGTAAGCAGAATACTTCATGTAATCCATCATGGGGCCTTAGGAGGGTCCCACCAAAAATTTCATGATCTAATAAATTATGGTGTGGAAATAAACTTATACTTTTAGTCTTTCTCAATAGTATGAGTTCATCACTCAGGAGGACATATCATACTTCCTTGTGAACATTAATAGTTAGTACCTATGGTGTAGTCTGAATGTAATTGGCCCCCATAAGCTCATAGAGAATGGCACTATTAGGAGGTTTGACTTTGTTACAGTAGGTATGACTTTATGAAGGAAGTGTGTCACTGCAGGGGTGGGCTTTGAGGTTTCATATATGTTCCAGCCATGTCCACTGTCCCAAACCACTTCCTGTTGCCAGCAGGCAAGATGTACAATGCCCATCTCCTTCTCCAGCACCATGTCTGCCTGCACGCCACCATGTTGCACCATGATGATAAAGGACTGAACCTTTGAAAATGTAAACCACCCCAATTATTTGCTTGTTTATTTACTTATATGTATACAGTTTTCTGCCTCCATGCCAGAAGAGGGTACCAGATGGTTGTAAGCCACCATGTGGTTGCTGGGAATTAAACTCAGGACCCCTGGAGGAGTAGTCAGTGCTCTTAACCTGAGCCATCTCCCCAAACCGCCCCAATGAAATGTTTTTCCTTTATAAGAGTTGCCTTGATCAGGATGTCTCTTCACTGCAATAGAAATCCTAACTAAAGCAGTACATGATTCATTACCCTTTAGAGAGGAAATATTGTGAGGGATACTGCTAATTTTACTTTTGATAGAATCATATTATATATAGGCTTGTGTAATTGCTCCTCATGGGATTAGTAGAAATCCTTGTGATCAACTATAGTCATACTTTTATTTCATAGAACATAAAATAACAGCTGTTTAACTCAATGTGTTGACAGCACAAAAAATAATAGTATAATTGTGCACCAACTATCTTAATTTATTTATTTATTTATTCATCCATCTATTTATTTATTTTGTTATTTTGAGACAGGGTTTCTCTGTGTATCTGTCCTGGAACTGGCTTTGTAGACCTGACTGGCCTCAAACTCACAGAGATCTGCCTGTGCTGGGATTAAAGGCGCATACCACCACTGCCTGGCCTCCTTTTGCTTATAAAATAATCACTCTGAGGCTTAATATTAGTTACAAACTGTTTGGTCAATGGCTCAGGTTGCTTCTACTGAGGTGGGGTCAGGGACTTGGCCACAGGGGTGGGGACTGGAGGGTTGGTGGGGGATTGTGTCTGTGGGAACTGTAAGGGTGGGCAAGTTCCATGGGCTGGTGGCCTATCTGTACTGCTGGCTGGTGTGGCCTGCACATAGGCATGGGATGTCTGTCTGAGTTGGAGGCTGCAACATGACCACATTCCTCTCTTTCTGAACAGGTATATGTATTATGCCATTGTTATGTTGGAAAGGTTTAATTTGTTTGAAGGCAGTGAGTTGCAGGGGTCTCCATTACAAAGAATGACTTGGTGGGGCATGGTGAGTGACTTTCTTTGTAATTTCCTCAGCATGTATTAATTCCTTCCATGTGAATAAAGAAAGACAGAATTTTGGTGGTTGTACAGTTTAGGGAGGGTAGCTTGAAACTGAATACTGAGTATTCAGTTTCCAATTAGGGAAGTCTCCTACACAGATATGTACAATCAGAAAACACACATATTTATGTCATGATTCATAACAGCAAAATTATAGTTATGAGGTAGTAGTGGAAATCATTTTATAGTTGGGGGTTCACCAGAATGTGAATAACTATATTAACAAGTCGCAACATTAGGAAACTTGAAATCCGTTGGTTTTGATTAATGTCTCCTGTAGATGAGGCTTGCTTCACACTCATGTAATAGAGAATTGCTTAGAAATTTAATCCTGACTCTGCTGTGTAGTCCTGCAACTGCTTCCAGGCTGGGCCTTGACTGGTCTGTCAGAACAAAGAATACAACAGTGGATAAGTGTCCTCCAATCTCTCTGATTTTATTGGAAACTTAGAAATGAAGAGGGATCTGTGTAAGAATTGAGTTCATTGACCAACTGTAAAACAACTGTAGTCACAGCACAGAAAGGGAGGGTCAGGAAGGAGTTTCACTTCCCTGCTTTGACAGTAGTTGATGTTAGCAATTAGTAGTGAGGTAATCAATTTTTTCATGATGTTATTGCTTTAACAGTTGAGTAATATTACATTGTGTAAATGTACCACTTTTAAAAAAAATCCATTCTTCTGTTCGGGGACATCTTGGCTGTTTCTTGCTATTATCAATAAAACCTCAATTAACATAGTTGAGCAAGAGTCCATGTGGTAGGATGGAACATCCTTTGGGTGTATACCCAAGAGTGGTATAGATGGATCTTGAGGTAGATAGATTCCTGGTTTTCTGAGGAACCATGATACTGATTTCCATAGTGACTATATTAGTTTGCACTCCTGCTAGCAGTAGAGGTGTTTTCCTTTGCTCCATATCCTCACCAGCATGAGTTGTCACTTGGGTTTTTGATATAGCCATTCTGACAGGTATAAGGTGGAATCTAGAAGTAGTTTTGATTTGGATTTTGCTGGTGGCTAATAATGTTGAACATTTCTTTAAGTGTTTCTCAGCTATTTGAGATTCCTCTGTTGGGAATTCTCTCTTTAGATCCATATCCCATTTTTAAATTTGGATTATTTAGATTTTCAACTGTAGGTGAATGTTTATTTTTTGCCCACATATAGTTGATTTTAAGGTCTTTTTCTTGTATTTCAGCTATGTTAGAATATTCACAATATGCTGTGGTAGGCTAGCTGGTCTCTGGTGATGACATATTTCCCTGGCTGTTACTGATTGTATTCCTAGGCTAGGCATCTGGGTTTGGTGTAATTATAGGTCTAGGTGTTGGCTTTTGACTGAATCTTGGCTGGATGGGAGTTTTGTTCCTTGGTGTCTGTTCCCTGGTGTTTCAAAGCATGTGTTTGGGGAGTGTTGCCTTTTTCCTGGCCTTCTGGCTGGTGTGTTTAAGGGAGAATCCTTGCTGATTTGGAAACTAGGGAAAGGCGAGGCCAGCGGGAGATGATCTCAGGGACCCACAGGAGTCATGGAAAGGTTGGAGGGGAAACTGCCTCTGGTGTTCTACTCCAGTGATAGGGGCAACTAAATGCAAAAATCAGGTCTAGGGTAAGAGATAATATGCTAGATATGTGGACAGCCTAACTGGTCTTCTGGCAGATGTAGCAAATAGGTGAGCAGTGGGTGTCTGCCCCAGTCTGGTGCTGGGACACAGATATGAGGAGAGAAATGAAAGGCAGGTGGAATGGTCTGTGAAATCGACAGGAGACATGGACGGGGGAGGAGAAGCTGCAGCTGGAGTTCTGTTGGAGCCCAAGGGCAACCCTGAGTATTGGGTCTTGGGTATCAGAGAGCGGGAAAGGACTTGGGGCATCCTACTTGATCCCATACCCAACGTCTTAATACTGATTCATCAGGTTCCCAGGGATCACTTATTTAACTTCTCTCTTTATTTAGGTTTTTGTTGTTATTAAAGTACTATGTGGGCTGCACATGTCAATCAGAAAGTGTTCTTCTTGGGTTTGACCTGAGTTCAAATACCAACACCCAAGTTTGGAGGCTTATAATCACCTGCTGTTCCAGATCCAGGGGATCTGACACACTTTTTGGTATGTCACCTGTACACACATATAAAACATTCTCTCTCATACTTTCAAACATACCCAAAAAGATGAGGATAGATTTGTTTTCAAAAGTGCTTATGACCCAAAAAGCAATTAGAAGAAAACAGGTTGCTCTAGTTTTGTATGATATAATACAGATCATACAATATTTCTTTAAAAAATCTGTTATCTTGCATTTGATTTGAAAAATTTTCATTTCCTCTTGTTGATGCACTTATATCCAGTCATCAATCATAGTAAACAAAATGTTTTCTAAATGTTCCTAACAGACATCCTTTTCTTTATCAAAATAGAATGAGTTAATTTTAGTACTCAAAACTATATTCTACAATGTAGAGACATCAGAAGGCTTCAAGCAAATCTATTCAGTTTTGGTGGAACAGTTCTCCTCACCCAACCCATTCTCTATTATTTGCAAAAGACAGAACTGGAGTACACAGGGTGAGTGGTGGTCAGTGATTTCTTTGATTTTGGTTTTGGTTAGAATCTTATCATTCTTGTTCAAGGGGCCATGTTAAGTTTGTAGGTCTGTCTTTGTGTCTCCTTTTATTAGTGGTACTGCCTAAATTCTGTGATTTTTGTTTATTAGTTATAATCTAATTATATTGTTTCTCTGGAAAATTATGGACCTTCACCTTTTTTATTTTCTGAAAAATTACTATATTACATTATGAATATATTGTTTGGAGACTTTCTGTGGAGAAACAGTTTTAGTTTTCTCTTCTTGATCTTGTCTCTCCTCATTCTTGGCATATCTGTGTTTTCCAGTAGTTACCATCATCAATTTTTACATTTTTTCTATTTAAGATACTGATGTGGTCAATGTATTGGTTTTTAAAACCCTCTCATATATTATTGTCTCTGTGTCCTAGTTACCTCCAGCTGTCAGCATATCAGAGCCTGCAGTCACCTGTGGGAACATGAGTTGAGGATGTGGCTCCATCAGAATGGCTGGTTGCTATGTCTTTGAGGGATTTTGTTGATGGATGATTGATGTGTGATGGCCCTTCCACTGAGGGTGCAGTATCCCTCAGAAAGTTGGCATGGGCTGGATAAGACAGCTAGCTTAGCACGAGTCAGTGACAAGTAAGTGAAAAAGCCAGGAAACAAAGATTCCTCATTATTTTTGCCTTTGGTCTTTAGCTTGAATTTCTGTCCTAAGCTCCCCAAAAGATGGATTGTGATCTGACAGAATTGGCCAAATAAACCCATTCATTACCTGAGATGCTTTTGGTTAGAGAATTTAATCACAGTAGCAGAGAAGCAAGTTAGAACAAAAATGGTACACCAAATGTGATTTTGTTGTTGGGCAGAACCTGGGAATGTTATCTTTTGGAAGAATGTGGAAGATATCAGGACTTTGGATGGAAAAAGTCATAGAAACCTCTACACATAGTTGTTCTTGAAGGACATGGAAAATGGGAATGTTGAGAGTAATGGCAGACAGATGAGGTCCAGGTCATATGATTTCAGTGGGAAATAGACTCCATGATAAATTAAGCTGGAGGTCATTTGTGTGATATTTTGGCTCCTAACATTTCTTATTATGCCCATGCATAATGAAATTGAGTAAGACAGAACTAAAAAGTAATGGGATGATTTCTTAGATGGAATATTGAATCCTATTACTGATGACTCATTCAGGACTACAGTTAAAAAAAACAACAAGTGGGTTATGAATAAATGAAAAGTCCGTGGGTTATGGAGAAAAACAAAACTAGGTAGTTTTAGATGGCACTCAAGTGCTGAAGAGATGCAGGAATTTTCAGGGAGATTATCACCATTAAAGAGAAAGCCCTTGCTCTACATTAAAAGCATAGCAAGATGCCTAAAGGTTAAGAATCTATTCTTCTATGCCCTCAGTTGGTTTAATACAGTGATTTCTAGTTCTAGGAAGCAACTTCATACAAAGCCTGCTGAGACTCTGGTCCAAGCATGGCAGCGTCTATCAAAATTTAGAAGTCAAATTTGGGGGAATTATCAATGTTGTATTGGTTCTGGAAATAAGAAAGATACAAAATTTAAGGCCATGCATTCTTAGTCTGTGGTTTCAGTTTAGCACTGTTATAGGCATCTGTGTTTCATAGAGTCAGAGCTCTAGTGAGGTGATTGTGAGAGTTCATTGCATGGGTTGTATTTTGAGACCATAAGATTTTCAGATACTTAAGCCATGAGACATCTTCCATGGAAAACTGCATATATGGAATGAATGTAACCAAAGACAGAGATGTTTGAGAAGTCGTGGGGATATCGACATCTGAGCCCTTTGAAAGTGAATCCCCAAGTGTCTAACACAGAGCTACTGGATTTGATCGTTACACTGCTGGGTTTCAGTCTTGCCTCGTTCCAATCTTCCCTCACCTTGTTTCAGTTCATTTCCTTTAGAATGGGAATGGGTATTCTGTGCCATTGTATGTTGGAAAGATTTGACTTGTTTTCGGATTTTACAAGATGACACAGTCAAGAGATTGTCTTGAGTGTCAGAAGAGACTTTGGGCATTTGAACAGTGTAGGGGATTTTGCAGACTATGAGGATCATTGAAGTGACTAAACACATTTTCTGCATGGATGACTCTGAGCTTATAGTGACCTGGGTCAGAATCTGGTCTACTTAATGAAAAGCTCCCAAATAGGGATGATGTATTTGCACGTGTCTCTCCTTGCTAGCTTTCTTTGGGGTGCTTGTGGTACCTCTATTAGGAATAATCTTCCTGGATGAAATTTCTCATTGGGTATGGGATTTGACGTATAGCTTCAACCCATTTCCTGTTCTTTCTACTGTGTTGTGGCTGAAATTAATCAGCCAGCTTCCTTCTTGTGCTGTCATGACTTCACCACCAATATAGATGGTATTACTAAATCACATAAGATACACCTGAAGCAATTGTTATCCAATATAGATGGTATTACTAAATCACATAAGATACACCTGAAGCAATTGTTATTCAATATAGATGGTATTACTAAATCACATAAGATACACCTGAAGCAATTGTTATTCAATGTTAAGCCATTTTGTCAGTCAGATTTTTTAAAATTTGTTGTTTTTATTTTTGTTTCTGAAAACAAGGTTTGTCTGACACTCCTGGCTGTCCTGAAAGTTGATCTATAGATCAGGCTGTCCTTGAATTCAGAGATTCACCCGACTCTTGCTCCCAAATGCTGAGATTAAGGGTAGACCAACATTCCTGTTTGTTTTTTTTCCCCAATGTGTATTATTGGGTGATGGGCCCAGAGTATAGGTTTTTGTACATGTCAAGCATATTCTGTTTTGCTGAGCTTCACCCCCAGCTTGAATTTTGATTTGTAACTGCCTAAATGCATCGTTCCTTTTAGTAATATTTATTAAAGTTACAATTTAAATTGGAGCATTTCAGGTTTCTGGAAGATGAAGAGAACTGAAGTGAATGCATTATTTTTTGTAGGCACTTCAGTAAATAATCTGAGTTCTTCCTATGTTTTTTGTTTGTTTGATTGATTTTTGTGGGGGAGACAGGTTCTTAATATTTGCTTCTTGGTGCGCTGGAACTGATTGCATATACTAGGCTAACATTCAACTTAGAGGCAGTTTTACCTCTGCCTTCTGTGTGCTGAGTGTAAAGGCATGAGCCAATATATCCACCTTGCTCATATTTCTTTGTAGTTAATAATTGTTCACAAAATTTCTCCGATGTGTACTGAGCACTGTTGATCTCTCTCTCTGTGTCTGTTAATAGGCATTTCTCTTGCAAGGTGATAACCCATTTAAAGCATTCAGAAATTATAGCCCTCCTATCTAGTTTCCTTCTAACATGATTTGATGATTATATTATAATGTCTGTGTCCTAGAATAAGTGTGGGAAGCACCAGAATTATATGATTATATTGTCAAAGAAGTATACATTTATTTTTTTATTTTTATTTTTTTTTGATTTTTTTAATTTTATTTTTAAATTTAAATTAGAAACAAGGTCACTTCACATGTCAATCCTAGATCCCTCACCCTCTCCCCTCCCTACTCTCCCACAAACCCTCTTCCCCCTCCCCCAACCTCCACTCCTTTCCCCAGAGAGAGTGAGGCCCTCCATGGGAGATATTCATATTCTGTCATTTCATCCAGGGCAGGGCCTAGGCCCTCCCCTGAGAGTCTAGGCTGAGAGAGCATCTCTCTTTGTGGGATGCGCACCCAAAGTCCATTTGTATGCCAGGGATAAGTACTCTGAATAAGCAGTTATTGTCATCCTTGCTATTTTAAACGTTTATTCTCTCTCACCCAGCTTTGCTCACTTTTATTTTTTATTTTCCAGTTTAAATTTAGATAAGAAACGAGGTTGCTTCACAAGTCAGTTCCAGGTCCCTCTCCCATTCCCTCCCCTCCTCCCGTGCCCTCCCCCCATCCCCCCCCCCGTTATCCCCTCATTCCCCCATGGAGGGTGAGGCCCTCCATGGGGGTGTCCATAGTCTGTCATTTCATATAGGGCAGGGCCTAGACCCTTCCCCAAGAGTTCAGGGTGAGAGTGCTCCTCACATTGTTCTATGGGAGTCCAAAGTCCGTGTGTATACTTGGGATGGGTACTGATCTGCTGCACAAGGCTCAATAGAATCCCTAGGCCTCTTCACTGACACCCAGATTCAGGGGGTCTTGATCAGTCCCATGCTGGCTTCCCAGGCTGATGCCTGGGATTCAAGAGTTAACCTTTGTCTGGTCAGCTGTTTCTGGGGGTTAAACCAGCCCAATCTTAATCCCTTTGATCATCAGTCCTCCCTCTCTGTTACTGGCTTTCTTGAGTTCAGCTCAGTACTTAACCAAGGGAGTCTGCCTCTTCTTCGATCAGCCACTAAATGAAGTTTCTGTTTCCCAGACTCTCTGGCCATAGGGTTGTAGGCTGGCACTCCCCAGATCTATGTCTAAAATCCATATATGAGAGAGTACATGCCATGTTTCTCTTTTTGTGACTGGGTTACCTCACTCAGGATGGTTTCTTCTAGTGTCATCCATTTGCCTGCAAATCTCATGATTCCATTATTTTTTTCTGCTGAATAGTACTCCATTGTGTAGATGTACCACATTTTCTCTATCCACTCTTCGGGTGAGGGACATCTAGGTTGCTTCCAAGTTCTGGCTATTACAAATAAAGCTGCTATGAACATAGTGGAACAGACATCTTTGTTGTATGAATGGGCATCTTTTGGATATATGCCTAAGAGTGGAGTTGCTGGGTCTTGTGGTAGGTTTATTCGCATTTTTCTGAGGAATCTCCATACTGATTTCCAAAGTGGCTGAACCAGTTGGCACTCCCACCAGCAATGGAGGAGTGTCCCCCTTTCACCGCATCCTCTCCAGCATAAATTGTCATTGGTGTTTTTGATTTTAGCCATTCTGACAGGAGTGAGATGGTATCTCAGAGTTGTTTTGATTTGCATTTCCCGGATGGCTAATGCTGTTGAGCACTTTCTCAAGTGCCTCTCAGTCATTTTAGACTCCTCTATTGAAAACTCTCTATTTAGTTCTGCAGCCCACTTTTTAATAGGGTCCTTTGGTGTTTTGGAGACTTGCTTCTTGAGTTCTTTGTAAATTTTGGAGATCAACCCTCTGTCAGATGTGGGATTAGTGAATATTTTTTCCCATTCTGTGGGCTGCCTTTTTGTCTTGCTGACTGTGTCCTTTGCCTTACAGAAGCTTCTCAGTTTCAGTAGGTCCCATTTATTAATTGTTGATCTCACTGTCTGTGCTACTGGTGTTATGTTCAGGAAGCTGTCTCCTGTACCAATTCGTACCACCCACTTTCTCTTCTAAGAGGTTCAGTGTGGCTGGATTTATGTTGAGGTCTTTGATCCATTTGGACTTAAGTTTTGTGCATGGCGATAAACATGGATCAATCCTCATTCTTCTACATGCCAGTCTCCAATTATACCAGCACCATTTGTTGAAGATGCTTTATTCCATTGTATATTTTTAGCTTCTTAGAAGTATACATTTATAATGTTGTCAATATCATGCTTTTTTTTCTATACATGTATGGAATATTTAGGATGCAGTGACCTATAATGATGTTCATGTTGACTTCACTCGGGAAGAATGGACTTTGCTGGATCCTTCCCAGAAGAATCTCTATAAAGATGTGATGCTGGAGACTTATACGAACCTCACTGCTATAGGTAAGACCTTGAGTTTTCCTTCATGTTTTAAAATAACGGGACAACTATTTCTTGGTTATTGATGCTTTTCTGTAATTTGGATTGAGAATGAGGAAGAATGATATGAATAAATTAGGCATGGTTCTAAGGATCACTGAAGATAATAACTTAAATTTTACACAGTTTCAAATAATATATCATGCATTTCCTGGTACTATATTTTAGGCTTCAAATGGGAAGATCATAATATTCAAGAACATTGTCAAAGTTCTCGAAGACATGGAAGGTAATTTTCATGTGTATGCTGATACGAATGTGCCTCTGAAGATATTTTAATGTATCTGGAAGTTTTAAAGAAAAGCAACAGTGTAAATAGTCACAGCTTAAGTGCTTTAATGGTCATTAAATTCTCACAAAACTGTAAACATCAATGGCAGGTAAGTGAATTGCAAGTCATTCTTTTAAGAAGAAAGACAAGGAATCAATGCCTTAACAGGTATCACCATTTGAATCATAGCTCCATCAGAGTTATACTGTAGAATTGCCAATTCATTTAGTTTCATATTACTCATATTACAAAAGGTATGTACATTGGATAGGTGATAAGTATATGTTCAAAACCTTCTAATAAGCAAATAGTCCATAGTAAAGCTAGTGTTACACTTGTTCTGATTTTGCTAAGTTTAGTGAGATGGGTAGTTAGAGTCAAAATTTAAGGGGGGAGTATTGTGGAGGAACTTTAATCCCTATACCATAAGTATATGAGGAATAGAAAGTCAAACTGTGAATGCAATGTGAAACCTTTTATTTGTTTATATATATCATGTGTCCTCTGGCTACAAGCCATAAGAGTACAGGGATATGGAAAGAAGCAATGTATCTCTCTCCATCTCAGAACAATTAGAAAATATGTAGTATTCCCCATGTTGAGTAGACTTGTTGAACATGATTCAATTTTGCAAGTCATTATTTTTCCAGCTTCATTGGTGATATATCAACAAACCCATAGTTCAGAAAAGCCCTGTGAGTATTAGGGATGTTTAAATACTTATGTTTGTCTTAGTTTTATTTGCAAATATAGTATGACTCATAATATAGGAAATTTTATCAATGGAATAAGTGGGGTAAAGGTCTTAATTCTTCCAGTTCTCTTCAAATATGTGGAAACTCTCATAGAGAAGAAAGTTGCTATAAATGTGAGTCAGGTAATAAAGGCTCTTAACATCACAGGCATCTTCAACTATGCAAAACAATTCTTTTTTTTTTTTTTTTTCGAGACAGGGTTTCTCTGTATTGTTTTGGAGGCTGTCCTGGAACTAGCTCTGTAGACCAGGCTGGCCTCGAACTCACAGAGATCCGCCTGCCTCTGCCTCCCAAGTGCTGGGATTAAAGGCGTGCACCACCAATGCCCGGCTGCAAAACAATTCTTAATGAAGGGGAACAACATGAGTGTAAACAAAGTGATGAAAGCTTATGATCTGATTACTCTTTACTATTAGAATAAATTGTAAGATTACTTCAGACAGATATAAAGATTCAACAGTGTTATGGTAAAGGTTTTACATATGCCAATTATCCTTGCAGGCATGAAAGAAGTCATTCTGGAGAGAAACCTTCTGACTATGATCAATGTGTTAAAGCCTTTGCATATCACATTCATCTTCAGAGGCATGAAAGAACTTATATTAGACAGAAACCCTATGAAGGTATTCAATGTGGTGATGCCTTTGTACATCATAGTAGTCTCCAGATACATAAAGAAACATATACTGGAGAGAAACCTTATGAATGTAATCAATGTGGTAAAGCCTTTGTATGTCAAAGTAGACTCCAAATACATGAAAGAAGACACACTGGAGAGAAACCCTATGAATGTAATCATTGTGGTAAAGCCTTTGTATGTCCAAGTAGTCTCCAAATACATAAAAGAACACATACTGGAGAGAAACCCTATGAATGTAATCAATGTGGTAAAGCCTTTTCACAACATGGTCATCTTAATAAACATAAAAGAACACATACTGGAGAGAAACCTTATGAATGCAATCAATGTGGTAAAGCCTTTTCACAACACAGTCATCTTAAAGTACATAAAAGTACACATACTGGAGAGAAACCTTATGAATGTAGTCAGTGTGGTAAAGGCTTTCCGCATCACAGTTATCTTCAAATGCATGAAAGAACACATACTGGAGAGAAACCCTATGAATGTAATCAGTGTGGTAAAGGCTTTCTGTATCACAGTCATCTTCAAATACATGAAAGAACACATACTGGAGAGAAACCCTATGAATGTAATCAATGTGGTAAAGCCTTTGCATGTCACAGTCAACTCCAAACACATAAAAGAATACATACTGGAGAGAAGCCCTATGAATGTAATCAATGTGGTAAAGCCTTTACACGTTACAATCATCTTCAAACACATGAAAGAACACATACCGGAGAGAAACCCTATGAATGTAATCAGTGTGGTAAAGGCTTTACACGGCACAGTCATCTTCAAATGCATGAGAAAACACATACTGGAGAGAAACCCTATGAATGTAATCAATGTGGTAAAGCCTTTGTATGTCAACGTAGACTCCAAATACATGAAAGAAGACATACTGGAGAGAAACCCTATGAATGTAATCATTGTGGTAAAGCCTTTGTATGTCAAAGTAGTCTCCAAATACATAAAAGAACACATACTGGAGAGAAACCCTATGAATGTAATCAATGTGGTAAAACCTTTGTATGTCAAAGTAGTCTTCAAAAACACAAAAGAACACATACTGGAGAGAAACCCTATGAATGTAATCAATGTGGTAAAGCCTTTGCATGTCACAGTTATCTTCAATTGCATGAAAGAATACATACTGGAGAGAAACCCTATGAATGTAATCAATGTGGAAAAGCCTTTGTATGTCAAAGTAATCTCCAAATACATAAAAGAACACATACTGGAGAGAAACCTTATGAATGTAATCAGTGTGGTAAAGCCTTTTCACAACCCAGTCATCTTAAAAAACATAATATCACACATTTTGACCTGAAACCCTATGGATGTAATCAATGTGGCAAAACCTTTGCACATCACAGTTATCTTCAAATACATGAAAGAACACATTTTGGCCAGAAACCCTATGAATATATTCAATATGGCAAAGACTTTGCACATCACCGTTATCTTCAAAGGCATGAAAGAATAAATTTTGGCCAGAAACCCTATGAATGTAATCAGTGTGGTAAAACCTTTGCAAGTCACAGTTATTTCCAAATACATAAAAGAATACATACTGGAGAGAAGCCCTGTGAATGTAATCAGTGTGGTAAAGCTTTTGCATGTCACAGTAATCTTCAAAGGCATAAAAAAATGCATAGTGAAAAGAAAGCCTGTGAATGTAATTAATGTGGTAAAACCTTTGCATGTCTTAGTTATCTCCCAACTTTCTAAACACATACTGGAGAGAAGTCCTATGAATGTAATCAATGGGATAACTCCTTTGCATCTATCAGAGTCTTTGAAATCATGAGAAAATGTACTGCAGAGAATCCCTATACATGTAGTATGGTGATGTTTTGTACTTCATGTTGGTCTTTATACAAGAGTAAAACTCTTAGTGTACAATCTATTTGTTAAACCCTTTACATGTTATGGTAGTCTTTGAGGACTTCAAAACTCATACCAAATGGAATCTGCCTATAAAGGATTTGGTAAAATCTTTAGTCAACATACATACATTCAGTTACACTGGGTTATTTGTGTGGTGACATATTATTTATGATTTAATAAAGCTTGCATGAGGGTTCAGGATGCAAAGCCAGCCACACTAGTTAGTTATAGAAGCTAGGTGGTGGTGGTACATACCTTTAATCCCACAATTCAGGATTAAGTGGTAAATGGATCGGAGTTCAGGGCCACCCAGGGCTACTCAAGATTGAATCGTTCTAAAAGAGTAACAGCTCATGCCTTTAATCTTAGGACTTGAGAGTTATTTAAGACAGGAACAGGGTCTCACATCTGGCATTCACTCTCCAGCCACATTGAGGATAGGACGGTATTCAGTCTGAGAGTGAGTCTTCAGCCACGTTGAGGAGAGCATAGCAGTCTGAGTGAATCCAAGGGGTAGTGAAGTCAGGAGCAGTCTGAGGATCATGTCTTTGGTCTGAGCTGAGGTAGAGGTAAGAGCTAGTGGCCAACTGCTTAGCTTCTCTAATCTTCAGCTTGAAGCTTGAAGCCCAATATCTACCTTTGGGTCTTTTATTTATTGTGTTACAATTGGTGCCCAATGTTAAAAGTACTAATTCACAAAAAGGCTGCTTTGAGGCCACTGGCTCGGGTCCAAGCCTGTGCTGCAGGTAGGATTCCTGGCTGAGTCCCTCCTGCCCGAGTCTTTCCTGCCTGAGTCCCGACCAACCAGGTAGGTTTTCTCCTAAAATTTTTGAGCAAGTTTGGGATTTTCATTTTTAGCTTTTCTAAAGTCTTCAGCTGCCACCAAAACTTGGGAAGCTTTTGGACTTTTCTAGAGATCCTTTCCTTGGGCTGACACTCTCAGCTCATGGCCACAAGCTAGCTCTTGGATTCAGACATGCTATGCCTCACAGTTCACTGACATTGTTGGCAGATTTAGTAAGTCAATTGGAAATTCTTAAAGTAAGGAATTAGTTAGAAAAGAGAGTTTTTTTCCCATATTAAAAAATGGAAAGCACTATTAAAATGGAGATAATTAGGTCTCTTTATGATTATATAATGGATGGTTTAAAAATGGAACAATTAAATGAAGGGATAATCAAATGAGATTGACATACTGTTAATAATCATTTTGATAATCTTGTCATTTTTGATAATTCTTGGTTTATAAGAAAAATGATTAATATGAATGTTAAGATGCAGGCCTTAGAAAAATTTATTAAAGCAGATTATTGAAACCCAGACTGAGAAATTACATGGAGAAATAAGTTCAGAATTGCATTTTCATCTTATAAAGGGACACCCTAAGGTCATAACAGAATCGCCAAATGATGGAGGTTCAGTAAGAGCTATTTGGAAGCCTGTGACAATTAGATTTAGGGAAATTTAAGGAAGCTATAGTCGCCTGTGGCATCCATTCACCATTTGTGAAGCAGATGATAAACACATGGTCTGTTTGTAATAGGGTTATCCCTATAGATTAGATAGATTTGATTAAAGCTGTCTTAGAACCTGGACCAGAATTACAACGGACTCCCTGGTTCAGAGAAGAGTCTTAAGAATATTGAACAAAAGGCTAAAGCAAAAGGTATGGATATCTCCCAAGATCAAATTCTTGGAGAAAGAGATTATGCTACTTAATAAAGGCAATGTTTATATGATGATCACCTTTTGGGTGTATGCCATGTAGTAGCATTAAATGCTTGGAACAGAATTGGAGAAGCAGTAAAGAAAATTGAATCATTTACAAAAGTTATACAAAGGCTGTCTTAAGCAGTAAATAGAATGATATCAGACTCAGAAACTAAAAAGATAATAATTGAAACAATGGCTTTTGAAAATGCTAGTGCCCAATGCAAAAGGATAATTAGCTCTTTAAAAGCAGGATCAGCACTTTTAGAGGATTAGATCCAAGATACAATTAATATTGAAGCTCATGGCCTTAATGATGATACATGGATAGGAGAGGTGATTTTAAGAAGTTTAAAGAAAAATTGTACCATCACATGTTTTAATTGTGGTAGGCAAGGTCACCTGAAAGGGATTGTAAATGGTGTTTATCAAAATATTTTTTAAGTATAATCCAAACAGAACACTCTGCATCTGAATTATGTAGAAGGTGTGGTAAAGGTAGGCATTGGACAAAGGAATGTAGTTCAAAAAGAGATCATCAAGTTAGTCCTTTGCCTTCAGGAAATGCCTTGAGCCTTTCACAGGCCAAAGCCTCTATGCCAAAACCAGTTCATTTGTTTCCTGCCACAGTGGACGAAACTCCTTCCCAGAACAATTAAATACCCTAATGCCTGTTAAAAGAAAGCATATTGTTCTGGAAGATAAAGAATTTTGGACAAATAAGCATCCAAAGAAGCAGGGGAAAGTACCTGGGGAAAATTAGCAAGAAGTAATGTGACCTAATATGATCTCTGAAGTCTCCAAGATGAAGATGTAATCCCAGCTGCATGGCGGCAGCACCACCTTTAATCCCACTACTTGGACGGCAGAAGCAGGCAGATTACAGTGAATTCAAGGCCAGCCTGATCTACAGAGTAAGTTCCAGGAGAGCCAATGTCAATAGAGCAAGTTTCAGGACAGCCAGAACTGTTAACACAGAGAAAACCTATCTCAAAAAACAAAACAACAACAAAAGACAAAAAATGGGAAGAAACTCCACAATAATTCACCAGGACTATGATAAGACCATTAAGCTGGACAATACCAACTAAAGGTTGACTTTGAACTACAAGCTGCTCAGAACAATTCCGAGATGGCTAGCTGAGATGATCCAGCCTCACAGACTCACTACTCTATCCAGAACTTTAGACAAGCCCTGCACTTTCCCATTATAAAGAGACTGGACATAAAGGATACAGCATGACAATTAACCCAAGTTTTCTTTTCAGGATTCCTTAAAGATGCTGTTGCCCCCAGATAGCAGGAAGGAAGCTTAAGAACACAAGGTCCACATTCCCAATAGATGGATGGTTTTGGGTCACTCATTGGGTTATGTATATTTGTCATTGTTTAGGAGGATTGGTTACAAGTTGTCATTGGTAATGGTAAAAAAAAAGGAATACAGATACAATAGGATAAAAAGGGTTGATTATTGAATCTACTCTGAAAAGAAAAAAGAATATAGATATGATAAGGTAAAAAGGTAGATTATTGAATCTACTACTTTTAAAATGCAACTACTAGTTTTAAATATTTTTACATCAGATTAGACTTCTGTATATGGTATATAAATGTATATAGATAAAATTTTGAGATTAATTTTGTTAAAACATACTGTATGTATATTTCTAATATTGTTCAAGGTATTGTGCCTGTATAGTTCACTTAACGATGTAACGCAGATTTCTAGTCCTCTTTGAAAGTTATTATTACTAACTATGTAATATAATAAATGAGACATGTCTGCTCCTGACTATACCAGTCTACTTCAGAGAAGATGATGGGCATCGAAGAAACTCACATGGAATTTACTTTTTTTTTTCTTTCCGATACAGGGTTTCTCTGTGACTTTGGAGGCTGTCCTGGAACTACCTCTAGTAGACCAGGCTGGTCTCAAACACACAGAGATCCTCCTGCCTATGCCTCCCGAGTGCTGGGATTAAAGGTGTTCGCCACCACCACTCAGCAGAATTTTCATTGTTTGAGGTAAAAGTAAGCCACCAGGCAAGAAAGTGCCCTTGTCTTGACTGCTGACAGTATGCTGTCCAAAATGGACAAACAGGACACCAGAGTGAGAGACTGCAAACCTTGCCAACACAGGGTGGGACAGCCCTTCAGAAAATCCTGCTTCACAGAAAAATCTGTCAGATATTCTGGGACTGTAGGCTAAAGATGGATGTCCCAGTGTTGCAGAGGACCTTTGAGTAACTGTCCAGGCAGCCAGCTGTTTTTGTCATTTCTTGCATTTTTTGGAATTTTCTTGCTTGTATT